TCCTCGCCGGATCGGGGCTCCGGCTGGCGAGGGGGGGTGTTAGCGTCAATCCGTGCTTCCACGCATTTGAACACTCCCACTGGCTTTCGCACACACTCAGCATCGGTCGCTATGGGTCTTCCTATTGGTATTCCATAGCTACGACGACCTCACACATTGACACCTACTTTTGGACCCCCTGGGCTTGATCCTCCTCGTGGCAGTCACATGAGTAAACACCGCGTGTGACGCGGTCCCCACGATGCCTGGGCAGCTGCCCTGGGGCAATAAGCTTGTGGCTACTGTTGTTTCCCTTTGTTGTGACACCTGCGGTCGGGCACGAGTTGCACTTTCCCTATCCTCGGGATTGAGCGACTCTACAGCTATTCTAACGGTGCACCTGGTCTGGTCACTGTGAATGCTTGCCGACCGCAGGTACGTCAAGCCCTCTGCCATTCTGTCTTCCCCTTGCTCTCCTGTGTGCTCTGCTCTCTTGTGACTTTCCCTATCCTCGGGATTGAGCGACTCTACAGCTATTCTAACGGTGCACCTGGTCTGGTCACTGTGAATGCTTGCCGACCGCAGCTGGTTCAATTGACCTCAAGACACCACCAAAGCTTTCGCTCCGCTCCGACGGACGTCTCTCAAACCTCTCTCAAAACGCTTCCTCAAACCTACGCGCTTCCTCGCAACCCAAAGACGGCCTCCAGACGTGCTGGAGCCTGACAGAGGGGGTTCCCAAACTGCCACCAGCACGACCCAAACGCCTGGACAAAAGTAGGCGCATGCAAGCCGCAGACAGGACCGAGTTCCAACGCACAGCGTGATCTATACCATCCACTCTCTGGTAGCAGAGGACTATTGTAGGAACACCTCCTAAGTCGAGGCATCTGCCGCAGCTCGGGCTTTTCTTTCTGCGGCTTCTTCGAGCTCTTGTGAGCGGAGGTATTCGTCCCACTGCTTGATGCGCGCCTCTTTTTCCTGCAGAGCCAAAAGGATTAGAACACCATCCACACACACACGGATCCGAGGCGACGTCGAAAAAAGCCAGAAACAACCATGCACAAGCACCAACAAGCGTGCGTATAAACGCCCACAATCGAATAAAACCAACAGCCAGTCAAGCACACAGGAACAGGGCATACCTCCTCGGATTCTTCGACCTTGTACTTGGTTTTGCCATCCCATTCCTCAGCTACCACTTTCTGGCCCGCAAAAAAGCGCCCGTTCAAGGTGGCAATCGCTGGGCCCAGGGGCTCGTCCGTGAAATAGCGCACCATGACCACGCCGTCCGGATTGTTCTGCATACCACACCGGCGCATGAGCACGACGGTGCTACGAGAATGCAACCCCCCCAAAACAATTCACAGGTTTTGAGCACGAACATCAAAGACATCCACTTTTTTGACAGGCCCAAACTTGCTGCACTCGGTCTTGATCTGCCTACACGCCCGCAGTCAACAAGCGCCAGTGAGTGGGTGCTATTGGAGGGAGCCAGCGTGCGGACCGTGGGGAGCGGCGAGCCCACGACATACTCTTTGAGTTCAAAAATGTATGACGCATCCTCCTTCATTTCTTCAAGCGTGAACATGTGCTTGAGCACGAGCACACCGACAGCACGTTTCCGTTTGGTGTCTGTTTCATGCCAGTGCAGTTTCCTGAGCACGGGAGCCGTGACAGCGTACAGCGTGAGAAAGGAGGCACAGATGTCCTGCTCTCCCAAGTCAGTGGAGTCGGTGTCGCCAAGCAGAGACGAGACGTGAACAGCTGCGACACGTGCGTACTTTTGGCCCAACGATTTCTTCTTGGCTTTCTTCTTGGCGGGCTCCAACGACCCTTCCTCAACCTCGTCCTCGTCATTCTTCTTGCCGAGTGTCATGCCCTCACGGAGTTGAAACACCGCCTGCGCAAAGGGCAAGACGAACACAAGCACGAGATGTGACAGGGTTGAACAACAATAAGTACAGGAAGCGCGACACAGAGAGAGAAAGAGAGACAGACAGACACGATAGTGCCGCAGGAGTAGACAGTCAGCTTCCGTCACGACAATGAGGTGGTGGCAATATACACACCCGTTGAATTTTGACCTTGAAGCCCGGACGAATCTCCGTCTCGTCGAGCAACTGCAAGGCTAGCTCCACACTCTCGACTCGAAGATAGGTGCACTTGCCATCACCTTTGGGCTCACCGTGCTCATCGGTATACAGCTTAATCTTGGGCTCGCCTGTCCGGGATAAAAGTTCAGCAAACAGAAGAAGGAGAACGTTGAACCAGAAAGAAGGGAAAAAAAAAACAAGCAACAAAAAAGGAACACACGGCACTTGCAGGGCGGTGGGCCGCCTGGCAACACGTCGCAGTCCGTGGTGGTATGTGGGAAGCGTGCACGCACCGTGGGCGTCCTCGTTAATGATTCCGGCCTTGCGCATGAAGGCTGTAAACTCTTCAAGCGTAATGTCCTTCACACGGGCATGGCAGCATACGTGAGAACAAGCGCGGACACCCAGCGGCACGGTGCTGGGAGCACCTACCAAGGGGAGCCCCGTGACGTAAACATGACAGTTGACGGTGTCCTTGAGTTTAACTTGATTCCCATCAACCTGGACTTTGGCTCGAGCCGCTTCTTCCTTGCTTTGCTTGCGTTGCTTGCGTCGCTCGACAACGGCCGTGCGCTTCTCCTCTTGCTGAGCCACAGCAGCGGCAGTGGCCTCCTGAAAACCAGCTGGGCGCTCCCACTGACTTTGCCGAGTAATTTTATTGAAATAGTATGCGTTGCCACGCTCGTCTTTCATGGCGGTAAAGGCCTCTGGTTTCTGAGCACCGGGATCGAGTCGACGTGAGCCGTCCTCGTCGGCAGGGGTTGTGGCAGACCACCAATACCACTGTACCTGAGCGGCCTCGACCAGTTCTGGGGGCATGACCCAGACAGAGGTCTGGGTTTCCGTGTTAAAATAGTACGGGCGGCCGTCGGGCATGGCATGCACTTGCCATTTCGATGCTGGACGATCAGCCAAGAAGAGACGCGGCAATGTCAGCATGGCCGGGCCGGGCTGCCCATGTGCAGAGTTGCGGACGCAAGCTCGGGGTACAGGACCAGTACATGCAACCGTACCTGCATTGGTTGTGGGATACTGGGCCTGGTAGTTGGAGACGACGGCTGCGTCGACCTGCGGGAGCTCCCGTGAAAGGTTTGTCGGGACAAGGCGCGGGGGGCAGTGGCCAGTGTCCAGCACGTTTCTGGGCCGCCACCAACCTTTGGAAAATAGGCACCCTTGTCGCCGTCCCACTCCATGGTAACGCCATCCGTATCTACATATTCACGGGACTTGCCCTCTGGCAGCGGAAACAGATCCTCATGCCCCCCGGGCGCCGCCGAGCCACTGCCATCCTCCACGTTGGCCATCGTCGCACACACTGAGAGAGAGAGAGAGAGAGAGAGAGAGAGAGAGAGAGAGAGAGAGAGAGAGAGAGAGAGAGAGAGAGAGAGAGAGAGAGAGAGAGAGAGAGAGAGAGAGAGAGAGAGAGAGAGAGAGAGAGAGCCGAAAAAAAAACTTCAAGAGCAACAACTTGAGAGAGCGACATTAAGTTGAAAAACATCTGCATAAACTTCCATGGCGGTAGTGTGACTTTCTTCAAAAACCATTTTATTTTGGTCGTATTCTGTGGTGTACTTTCTTCAACTTGATGTAGTGAAGCAGCCACGGGTTGCAGGCAAACGGGCCGGGGTGGGCTTCGGGTGGACGGCTGGTGTGTGTGTGGGGAGGGTCGGTCGGCTATCATGAGGAATCAAAGGCTTGCAAATATGAATTAATACAATGGCTCTGAGGGTCGACTTAGGCAGCGCTTGTCGAAAAACAAAAAGCACTTCAATTAGAGCTCTTCCTTCTTCTTACCCCCGACAAGGGTGTCCACGGGCGGGACTTGATTGGCACCAGCAGTGCTGGCAAACTGGCGGACCGCCTGAATAAGTTCCGAGTATTCAAAGTCTGAGCCTGGCTTGAAGACGTGCAGGTTGTCGTCTGGGGTGGGCAGCGTAAAGTGGAAGGTCTCATTGTGCACGTAGTCGTCGTGCAGGTAGTAGTAGGATTGGATGGTGACGCAAGTGACGTCTTCCTCGTTGGCGAGCTTGTGGGTTTGGAAGAAGGCCGGGGTGAGGTAGGTGATCTGACCTTTTGCGACGCGGCCCTCGGCAAAGGGCACGGGCTCGCCGTTGTGTTGTTCGGCCAGGGGGTTGTACCAGCGCGAGGTGATGGTGCCGGAGAGGCACTTGATGACGGCCACGGCGTTGGCGTGGTCGTGGATCGGACTGTACATCTTGGGTGGCCAAATCTCCATGACAAAGGGGCTGCCCGGTGAGTTGCCGAGGTCTGGGCCAATGGTGACACGGATGTAGGCCATGTGGGGATCGTCGCTCATCTCTCCGGCATTGATTTTCTCCTGCAGCTTCTCGTAGAGGACGCAGCCTTCGGTCTTGATGCAAAGGTCGATGGCGGCGGCGTCCGACTCGCTGAGAAGAATTTGTTCCCCGGCCACCTGATCATAGAGGGACTGCAGTTCCAAGGGCAAGACGGCGGGCACCAGTGCGGAGCGGTCCTCGAGCACCTCGAGGGTCACACGGTGGCGATCGACGAGCAGCGGGGGGATTGGGGCCACGACGGGGAAGCGGGTGACTGAGTAGGCCACGGCGGCGAGAGAGCAGTCGACTTCGGTGACGGTGCCAATGGCGCAGGCATTGGCATCGCTGCTCTCCAAGCACTTGGGGATGGGGCCGATGGTAATCATTTCGTTGACGAGGAGTGGGTAGCCAAACCCGACGCGAACGTAGCCGTTCTTCTTGTCGATGGAGATCCAGAGCTGAAGCTGGGTCATGGGAAAGTTGACGAGATCTGTGGGAATCCAAGGGTGACGCTCGTGGAGCTCGATCAAACTGGTCGTGTTGAGAACGGCGTCGCTGGCATCGCGGATGGTGATGGTCCCCGTTTCAGCGGCAGCAATGTCAATCGTGTAGACGGTCTCCGAGTTATCCGTGCGCAGGAAGAAGGTGTAGCCAGACGCGCGGGCCAGGGCATCTGCTGCGATGGTGGCCACGACAAGGCCTTGACCGCGAAGCGTGAGGGCAATGTTGCTAACAGGCTCGGCGGCGAGCAGGCAGAGTTTTCGAGATTGGCAGTCCGGTCGGGGATAATGTTCTCGAAAAGACGCGCCCGGCAATGGTGGCATATCCCCACTGGCCGTCGCTGGTGCCCAGCTAGCCAGTACCAGTACCACAAGCGCCAGCACGCAGCATGACAAGCGGCTGCCGATCCACGACAGCGCCATGCTGGCGGGCCCGACTCACGGCGAGAAAAAGGAGGAGCTGAGCGAGGGAGGGAGAGAGAGAGAGAGAGAGCGAGAGAGAGAGAGAGAGAGAGCAGGGCCGCGGCTCTGCTGTGTCAGGGCGTGAGAGAAGAAGAAGAAGAAGAAAAATGCCCCTTCAGCCTTCCCCTATCAGTGAGCGCCCCTCCTTCCTTCCGGCCCTGGGTCATCAAACCGCATTGAGCCGTCAAGTGTGTGTGTGTGTGGAGTTCATGGCGCCTGCGGCTGTTGTGGCTGTTGGGGACCAACGGGTTCAAGCAGCGGGATCGGCCACAGCAGGAAGCGCAGGGACGCTTTGGATACAAGGTACAGAGGAACGAGATAGGTTCATGGTGGAGGTAGAGATAGAGAGGGACGGGGAAGAAATGGCAGAGAGTTGAGGGAGCGAGCAGCATAATTGAGAGATTGCAAGCGAGTGGCGCACGCTTTTGAGAGAATAAAAGCGAGCAAAGCAGAGGCTGAGAGAGTCAAGGTGAATAACACAAAGTTTGAGAGAGGGAGAGACAAGTGACACCCACACTCAGAGAGAGGTCGAGGGAATTCCCAAAGAGGGTCTGTCCTATTTGATGGGGTTGGGTATGGGGTTTTATGGGTTGACGTCCAAAACTCAGACACGCTGTTCATAACAGTGGTTGACAACAACATCCATCGGACCAAACGCGATGGCCGTCGATCTCGACCGCTTCAAGCCAGCGGCAGATGCTTCACCGCGGTCCCCTGTCAAGCCAGAACAAGAGCACTGAGAACTTCGCTGTGTGCTTGGGGCTCGTCGAAGCGGCACAGCAGGTATGTCTCTGTCTCTTTTGACCCCTCTCTCTCTCTCTCTCACACCTCTAACTAGTCTCTCTCTCGAGCACGAGTTACAGCTGGTAGCAATTCGCATGCCAGCGCGGGACCGGGCAGCTTGACAATTGGTAGCAGACGGGTTAGGTGTGCAGAGAGTATGCCAGCAGCTAGTGCGCATTCAGAGCAACGTCAAGGTTTGGCTTAGGAGTCAGAGGAAGTATGTCAAGCCAGCCAACTTTGCTGCGTGATCACAACTGAAACTCAGAGAATGTTGAGAGCAACGTTGATGATCTAGAGAAGGTGAGCCATCTGGCGCTCAGAGCCAGAGAAGTCATTGGCTGTGAGAATGCATGACAAAACAGCGAGAGTGAGACAGAGAGAGAGAGAGAGAGAGACAGATAGAGAGAGAGAGAGAGAGAGAGAGAGAGAGAGAGAGAGAGAGAGAGAGAGAGAGAGAGAGAGAGAGAGAGAGAGAGAGAGAGAGAGAGAGAGAGAGAGACAGACAGAGAGAGAGAGTCGAGAGAGAGAGAGAGAGAGAGAGAGTCGAGAGAGAGAGAGAGAGCTGGCAGTTATACACACACACGTTCAGCTTGACTGCCATTTGCGTTCTTGGATCGAGTTGTGTGTGTGTGTGACGTGACGAGCGGGGTATGTATCGGACCCGATGCTCTTGGGCTTGGTCTTGCTCTTGGTCTTGGTCTGGGGCTTGGTCTTGGGCTTGGTCATGGTCTTGGGCTGGGGCTTGGGCTGGGGCTGTTGTCTGTCTGTGCTGGTTGGGCATGACTTGTTCTACTGGGCTGTTGAGTGATGCATTGGCGACGGGACCGTTGCCTCGTCAGTGAGCTGGCAGGTTGATGAGATGCGCGTTGCTGCCCAAAGCACAGACATACATGGGGGGCACAGGGGCAGATGCACCAAGGCACAGATGTATAGACGCAGACATTCTGGTGCAGGGACATTCACATTCACAGCCAGCTTCACCATTACCGGCACCGGCGCAAGCACTGTCAGGATGGCACGGTCACACAGAGACAGACAGACAGACAGACACGCGTGCACACACATGAACTGAGCGAGGATGGGAGCGTTCGCAAGGGGTTTGATTACCATCAACTGTTTGGCTGTTTGGTGCTCATAACCTCAGACCAGGCGCTTGACTCTCTCTGCTCGCTCTGTCCATCGACACACTTCACCACAGCTCGTCGCTTGGCTTCTGTCTCTTTGCTCTTTGTTCCCTCCCCGTTTCTTCTCATTTGCCCCACGCTTGCCCCACCTCTTTCTGTGGACTGGCTGGGCTTGTTTTTGGGTCGCTGTTGACGGCGTGATAGCTCACGATCGGGTCTCGTCTCTTGCTTGTTGTTGTCCATGACCTTGCCTTGTCCACCCACACAGCCACCAAGACCCGTTTCGTCTCCTGACCAGCACCATGGCGAGCAAGAAGCACGTCTCGTACTACTACGATGGTACGTCGCAGGGCTGTGTCTTTGTTTGTTTGTTTGCAAGGCCCTCGCCGCTCAAGCAAACCCTGTCGCCGTTGTCCATGATGCCTGCCTCACACTGAGCCTGCCTGCTACCCCTCGCGCCCTTGGTCAACAGGCGACGTCGGCAATTACTACTACGGGCCTGGGTATGCTGTCATGTCCTTGCACCCCTCTGGACCATCACACCCCTCTCCTGTTTCTCTTGATTCGCGCCACTGGTTCCCTGGTCGCCCCACCCGTTCTATTACATTCTCACACCTCCGTTCGTCTGGACCATGGCCAGCCATCCCATGAAGCCCCACCGCATTCGCATGACCCACAATCTGCTTCTCAACTATGGCCTCTACAAGAAGATGGAAATTTACGTACGTGGGCGTCTCGAGTATGCCTTTACAAGCCACATTCCTTTCCCCCCCCCCCCTAACTCCATTCCAAGTTTTTTTTTTTTTTTTTTTTGAATCTTTGAATCTGATGACTTTCCTGATGATTCTGTGGCGCAGCGCCCACACAAGGCCTCGATGGAAGACATGACGCGCTTCCACTCGGACGACTACATCAACTTTCTCCGCACCATCAGTCCTGATGCAACCAACGAAGAGACCAAGAACATGTCTCGCTGTACGCCGCTCCGATTCACGCCCTCGTCTTCAGTTTGGTCTGGTCCATGTTGATGAACTCACCCTTGACTTTGACTGGCTGCTCTCTGGTATTATCGAATGAAAATGCAGTCAACGTGGGCGAGGACTGCCCCGTGTTTGATGGCCTCTTTGAATTTTGCCAGATTAGCGCTGGTGGTTCGCTCGGTATGCTCCCCTGCTCCCACGGTTGCGTCGTCCTCTCATACCCCGCCCAGAGCCAGGCGCGCCCTCTCATTCACGTTGAGCGTGGCCCATGCTGCCATGAATGCTCTCGCAACAGCTGGGGCAGCCAAGCTGAACAGTCAGCAATCTGACATTTGCATCAACTGGGCTGGCGGTCTTCATCATGCCAAGCGATCCGAAGCCTCTGGCTTTTGCTACGTCAACGACATCGTCTTGGGCATCCTCGAGCTGCTCAAGTGCGTGTCATCTTTCCCCCCAAACGCATCTTTGCTACACGCCTCCGCTGGCCCTAGCTTCATAGAATTTCCCTTGCCTGCCATTTCAATCACTCCATAGGCGTCACGAGCGCGTGCTGTACATTGACATTGACATCCATCACGGTGATGGCGTGGAGGAGGCTTTCTACTGCACAGACCGCGTCATGACCGTGTCCTTCCACAAGTATGGCGAGTATTTCCCAGGCACTGGTGATATCAAGGACATTGGCACCCAGGACGGCCGTCACTACGCCGTCAACTTTCCTCTCAAGGACCACATTGACGATGATTCGTATCAACGCATCTTCCGTCAAGTCATTGAAAAGGTCATGGACTGGTATGACCCCGGTGCCGTCGTGCTGCAGGTGTGTGCATTCGACCCGCCCCCCTGCGCCCCGGCGCCCCATCAGCTCATACAATTCGCAGACCTGCACCGCCGGTTGCACTCTTTGCTTGTTTCCCCTTTGGTCCGTGCCCGTGATTTGTCTCACGGGCCTACGACCACGCTTTGCTTTCATCCGTGGTAGTGCGGCGCCGACTCGTTGACTGGTGACCGTCTCGGTTGCTTCAACCTATCGCTCAAAGGACATGCCGCTTGCGTGGAGTATGTCAAGTCGTTCAACAAGCCCCTGCTGCTCCTGGGTGGCGGTGGCTACACGATCCGCAACGTCGCCCGGTGCTGGGTGAGTCACTTGCCCCGGTTGTCGTTGCGAGTAAAATTTTCGTACAAAATTCGCTTTCGTTGGCCCGGTGTTGAACCTACCCGAAGTTCATCAGTTGCTCGTCTTCACCATGGGTCATGGTCGCGTTCTTCGACGTTCGTCTTTCCCTCACCTTGCATCATCTTTGTGACACAGACGTACGAGACATCCGTGGCTCTCGACACACCGATTGAGGATGAGCTGCCATTCAACGATTACTTTGAGTACTTTGGTCCCGACTTCCGCCTCCACATCAGGTACACAGGCTGACTTTCGCTTGCCTTCTCCACATCTCAGGCAAAACCAAGATAAACAAATAAACAATCAAATACAACAAGATTCACTTCCACCTTCTCCACCCACGCCGGTCTCTGTTATTCACGCTCTTTGGCCACGCTTTCCAACCCCTGTGTAGCCCAAGCAACCATGACAACCAGAACTCTGAAGAGTATCTTGAGAACAGTGTGAAGCAGATTATCGAGAACCTGCGCCATACTGCCAGTCGTCCCAGCGTGCAAATGCATTGTAAGGCGCCCAGCTTTCTGCTGCCAACGCATGCCACCGGTCCACTGCATCAACCTTGTCGCACATTCTCTCACACCCCACATGTTTCTATGATCCTACAGCGATGGTTGACACGCTCAGCGCATACGAAGAGGACGAAGATCAGGTGGACCCGGACGATCGCCGCGCACAACAGCTCGTCGATCGCAAGATCTCCCATGATGCGGACCTGTCCGATTCGGAGGACGAGGGCGGTCGCCGTGATCAGCAAAGCTTCAAGGTATGCATGAATACATGTTGCATGCGCACGACCTCTGCTACTGACTTGCAGTTGTCTTGGTCGTGCTGTGGTGTCATGCCCAACCGCTGGCCACCTCATTCGATGGCGATTGGGTGCACAGAAGAAAGAGTTTCGCAAAAAGCCAGAGGCCAGCGGCGCAGGTGACAAGGCTACGACGCCCACGATCAAGAGCGAGCCCACCCAATCCATGGATACGACGCCGTCCCCTCCCAAGGAGTATGCCTCGTCGACCCCCAAGACTACTTCAACCACCGAAGGAGCCGCAACAGCGCGCACTGGCCCAACCGACTCCACCGCTGCCGCAGGTAAAAAGGCCGCAGCCACAGCTTCGAGCAAAGAGGCTCCCATGGCCACGGGCTCGGACTAGGCTGGTCCCTGTTGCGTCATCCATCCTCTCCACGGCTGCTCAGCTGTCCGGCACCTCTTATATGGAGGAGTCGGCGAGGGCGTCTCTGCCATCTGTCTGTGGTCGTGTCGCTTGCTTGTATCGTAATTCCGTGAAACCAAGTTTTGTTCTGCTCCTCTTCTCCTGCTGTTTCTCCTCTTACCAATCCGACTCATCAGCTTTGCTCCTCGCGGTCAAATGCCGTCTGTTGTTTCGTTGGGCCGTCGCGCACCCCTCTTCATTCCCACCACCAGAGTCGTGCCTGACTGTCTCTCACTGTTACGCTTTGCGTATGTTGTGGCGTCCTCATGGTTTTCCATTCTTGTTTTAGTTCAATTGTATCGTACAGATCAACAACTCGCCCTCTAGCCCCGCTTGTGTGCGGCCGGCAATCAGCGCAATGGTTATGCTCGCTTTACAAAACTTTCTATGACAGTCTGTGTCCTCCTTACACGTAAACCAAAGAACACCCAACAACAATAGACGATTATTTCAATACCAGGCGCGAAAGCACCATAACACGGCATGCATGGGGCATGCGGTCCTCGCTTGGCGGGAACGTCGGGGGGGGTTTTTTTTTTTTGAACTTGACGCTTCTGACTTCGTGGCACGCCTCAAGGTGTAAAATCAGCACTGGAAATGTCAAAGGTGGAGCGGTTGGCGTTGAAGAATTTGGACATGAGGGCCTTGTGAATCAGGTTGTCCGGGGTTTGGCGCTTTTTGCGCTGGGACTCGCGCCGCTTGGTGCGCGGGGTGACAAAGCCGATGCCACCCCACTCGGCCGAGTGCTTTTCATGAACGCGCTGGCCAGCAGCAGCAATTGAGTCGAGCAGATCTGTGTCGTGTTTGACTCGCTTGGCCGGCCTCGCACCCTCGTCTGCGTCCGTGTCCACGATGCGCACTTGAACGCCACCTTGCTGAGTAGTGCGGCAGCGAAGTTGTTCAGCTTTCGCGCGCAGCTCCTCAAGCAGTTGATTGGTCGGTGCCTGTGTGGCTCCATCGTTCTCCTTGGTCAGTGAAAGGACGGGCGGAGGCGTGGGTGGCGCTGGCACTGCGACGGCTGAGGAGGTGGTGTGGGGTGAGGGCATAACATTGGTGGCCTTGGTAGCATCATCGGTTGTCTTTGTTGCGGAGATGACGGGTAGGGGCATGGCAGTGATGGCAACAGCTGCGGCGGAGGCAGACTTGGTGTGGCGATCGAATGGCTGATCTGTCGAGGTTGACCATGAGATGAGGTACATGGCGCACACTCTGCGCAGACAAGGCTCTTGGCGAAGCTTGGTGGCTTGGGCGAGCAGGCACGGAGAGCAAGATGCAGCAACGCACCGTAAGCATATTCATAGCACGCCTTCATCTCCTGAACAAGTCCGTTGATGAGCTGTGCTTGCTGGCGCTGCGTGGCCGGCTGCCGGGCGAATGGAAATCCAGCGTGCCATGAGAACGTACAAGCACGGGTCGATGCGGTTCTGCACCGGGCTTCACTGCTGCTTGGGCGCACGGGGTGGGCTTTAAAGACGTCTGACGAAGGAGAGCAGCGTGGACTTACAATCTGCATGGTGGGTTCGGGAGGGCTGAGGTAGTCGCTGACCATGCCCCAAAGCTGGCCGAGCGGTCCGTGCTGCTCTCGTTGGCGACGGGTTTGCGTTCGCAGGTACAGGCTTGGGTCACGGCGCACGGTGGCGATAAGATCCTGAAGAGCCATTCGCGTTGTATTGGCAGCCTGCAGCTGCAGCTGCTCCGGTGCTACCCGTGTCGAGAAGCAGGGCGTCAAGTCGCGCCCCGCTGGTTGCTCAAAGAGATCCATCCTCGTTCGTTGTGCCGACGCCGCTGACCAAGGCGAGCGCGTCTCGACTCCACTGCTCAAAGCTAAAAGAAGAAGAAGAAGAAGAAGAAGAAGAAGAAGAAGAAGACCAAGACCAGGAGAGTCATCCGGGAGGAAGGAAGAGTGAGCGAGCAAGACTGCATACACCCTCCGACTGCCATATACGCACATACGCTCAGCCGAAAGAAAGCATCAAAAAGTAAAAGCAAAAGTCCACAGCAAGATCACACACACACACACACACACACACACACACACCACACACACACACACACACACACACACACACACACACACACACACACACACACACACACACACACAGAAAGAGAGAAAAAAACCGCATCAAGCCGTACGACGAGAGTCGAGATCAGCAATTCAAATCTTGGCGGTAAGAAAAAACCTGTATAGGATCGGGTGTGAAAACCCAGTGCATCTGATACGAATTTATTGGATTCATCGTCGTCTCCTTTTGTGTGTGTGTGTGTGTGTGTGTGTGAGTGTGAGTGTTCAAGTGCTGAAATGGCAGCGCCCTCGTGGTGAATGGTGGCGCGCAGTAGTGGCAGTGGTGCGGGTCAGGGTGTGAGTCGGGTGTGAGTTAGGGTTAGGGTCAGGGTGTGAGTCGGGGGTAGCTGAAAGCGGGTGGGGATGGAGCACACAATGGATCGGATGATGTGCCCGTGCTTTGGCTGACGCTTTGTGTGTGTGTGTGTGTCTCGTGTTGTGCGCGAGGCAGGCAGTGCTGGGTGGCAGTCAAACGACCAGCAGGATGACCACACGGAGCGAACGGGCCAAGGCCAAGCAGAACAATGAACACTCGGCCATCTTGATGGGCTTGCTGCAACGCCCGGCAAACAAGATTTGCGCCGATTGTCATGCCAAGGGTACGGAAACGCCCATTCGGTCCCCCGTTCGTCCTGCAATGTTCAACGCGCCTGATGAGTCTGATCATCTCCCCGGGTCTCGTCGTACTTGCTGCACTCCCGTGCAAACGCGCCAGGTCCACGCTGGGCGTCATGGAATCTGGGCGTTTGGATCTGCATCCGCTGCTCTGGCATCCATCGCAGCCTCGGCGTGCACATCTCCAAAGTCCGCTCCGTCAATCTAGACACCTGGGCACCTGATTGGGTCAAGGTGTGTCCTTGACGCTCAAAATGTTGCTGCCCTGCCATGGACCATGTGCCTGGTGACCCACACTGTGCTCACGGCCTACCCCGGTCCTTTTCCCCTTGGTAGTCGATGCAAGCTGGTGGAAACGATGTGGCCGCCCAGATCTGGGAGTATCATCTGCCCAAGGTTGGCCACCTGGACGCGGACGCGGCGGCCACCTGTCATTCCCATTCCATGCCATGGCGATCCACTCACCTTCCTGCTTATCCCCGGGTATCCTTGCAACAGGGCTTTCGCCGTCCGGCCGATAACAATGCTGCGATGGAGCAGTTCATTCGGGACAAGTATGAGCGTGCCCGCTGGAAACGCAAGGCGTCCGACCCGCCGCTCGAAGCACCAAGCCAAGCAGCCCCCGCAGCAGCCCCCGCTCCTGCCAAACCCACCAAGAGTGTGGCCGCTCCTGCCAAGACAGCGGCCCCCGCCAACAACAACAACAACAACAACAACATTGGCTTTGCCAATTTTGCAAACTTTGAATCTGCTCCTGCCTCCGCGCCTGCCACCGCAGCACCCGCCACGTCGACGGACCTGTTAGACCTCTTTGGCAGCAGCACCCCGGCCCCCACGCCTGCCGCTTCGACCGCTTCTGCGCCGACAGCTCCTGCCTCAGCTCCCGCAGCAACTACACAGCCCAGCACTAGCACCTCCAACGCAGACATTATGGCACTGTTTGGCAGCGCCCCCAGCTCTGCCCCGGCGCCCACGAGCAGCATGATGCAGGGCAACCCTTTTGCCTCGGGTATGATGATGGGCGGTCAGCAAGGCAACAATGGTGGCATGATGAACCCCATGATGGGCATGCAGCAGCAGCAGCAACCCATGATGGGCATGGGCAACCCCATGGGAGGCATGATGCCGCAGCAACAGATGGGGCAAATGGGCCAGATGGGCCAGATGGGCCAGATGGGCCAGATGGGTCAGATGGGCCAGATGGGAGGCATGATGCAGCAACCTCAGCAGCAGATGGGCGCCATGGGTGGCATGATGCAGCCACAACAGTCGGTGATGCCCGGTCAGCCCTTTGGCGGCTTCAACGGCGTCCAGCAGGGCATGTCCAACATGTACGTTCCAGCAAGCGCTCTACACTGGCCGCCATCTTGGGGTCACGCGACTGTTGTGCAGCTCCTCATTGCCTCATTTCTATCTTACCACGATGCTTCCGGTCTTGTCTGTCCATAGGAGTCTGAGTTCTAGCGGAGGCTCCACCTTTGACACCACACTCTGGAAGTAGATTGTCCCACCAGTCATGTTGTTTCTAGGAAACACTGCCGAGTTTTTTTTCGTCTTGACTGTTTTGTTTTGTCGCGCCGTTGGTTCCTTTCCTGTCCGCCATTGTGGCCGTAGGGTCAGTGAGCCTGCTCCAAATGAATGACACGAATATGTGTGCACGTTCCACGAGATGGTTCATTCAGTCCCTTTTCATCGACTCGATTGTTTACCACCATCATTACTCTGCACACGCAGGCATGGGCCAGCATTCACAACTCTTTATGTTGAGGCCAGCATGTCTTCCCAGGCGAGGCTAGGCTATGGTCCCTTCCTTGTTCAGGCCTTCATCTTCCTTGATCTTGACGATTTTTGTTTTGGCAGCCCTGGGCCGATAGCAGACAGGCTATGTGGCAGCAACTGGAGTTTGGCCGGCTGCCCCGGCCTTGTCTTTCTCCCCGTCCGGCTGATACCGCTCAGGCTGCGAGCGATGAAAGTTCCTGTGCTTTTCACAGTCGAGAATCTGTTCACGACACATGGCCTTGCAACAGTTCTTGCACGCCTTGTGTTCGCACCTGTGGACGAGCGCATCCCGGGGTTTCATGAGTCTGCTCATCAATCATAACACTGTTATACCAAGCCACGCAACTTACGCTTCGGAGCCGGGGCATTGGCCGCACATGTGGCACATCATGTACTTGGGTGGTGGCGCTATAACATGAGTGCGTTGAATGAGGATAGGGAAAAAGAACTCAGCATCGTATCAACATGCAGTCAGGGCGACAGCGTGGGTCGGGTACAAGAAGCGCAGGCAAAAGAGCACATCGACGCGAAACAAGCCGTATTCATATTTGAGGAAGTCAACGAAGGGGCATTCCTGGTGACGTACGTGCTTTCTTTTCCTTGGCATCTTTCTTGACCCGTTTTTTGGTGGGACGTTCCTTATCATCGGCATGGGCGGCCTCGAGAGCCTCAGCTTCGGCCTCTAGCGCAGCCCGCTCTTCGGCGCGCCGCTTCTTTTCTGCCGCAATGGTTTCCCTATCACAACGACAGCGACCTGTGTGCACGGGCGAAAGGCGGTCGAGGCCAAGCGCGAACAAAAAGCAGTCTTGGGCGTCCACACACGAGTCCTTTTCATGGTCTCGTAGACGAGGCTGGCAGCGCCAAAAAGGAACTTGTGGGAAGACATAATCCTTGCCACAGCTGGCTCCAAGGATCTTAGCAGCAGCTGAGGGGACAGGAAGGTGGTGGGATTAGGACAGTATGTTGTTTCGACTTGAGCGTTCGAGGCTGCGACCCGCAGTTGGCAGTCCTACCTTCGTCAGCAATGTCTTCGATATCTGTGGCCGTGGCACGCGCTGCAGCCAGCTCTTGCGCTAGAACGGCGTTGGTGGCTAGGAATTGATCAATGTTCTTATCAGCAATTAAGCGCTCTCGCACCTGCGGCATGATGGTCAGGCTGTTGTTGGGGGTTGAGGCAAGGCCACCACAGGGAGGGTAAAGTACAAATGAGTTCGATGCCTCTGATGTGTGCGTGGTGGCCATCAGCCTGACGGTGCCATTGAGATAGGATGGGGGGGGGGCGTGGGGAGATTCGACACGTACCATGGGTACCACAGGCGAAAGAGGTGGGCGCGAACTTGAGAGGTGGTCGCCTTGTGCTCCTTGGCGAGCTCTAGGTATTCTTGTGTCAAATCGCTGATCAAAGGAAACTGGCCCACGAACATGGCTGGGTTTGAGAGGTTGGATTCGGATGACATGATGCCGTCCACACCCGTCTCCTCCAGGCAGGCCAGACAGTCGGCGCGATAGAGGATATTGCCGTTGGACACGACGGGGATCTTCAGTTCCTCCCTACAACAGCAAGCCCCAGAGTCAGCATTGGCTCATGCGGCACGCGGCTATGCATTTAACGAGGCTTTGGTCAAGGCACATGCACTGGGCATACTTGATGCGCTTGACAAGCGACCAGTCGGCCAAGCCAGTTCGGGTGCCCTTTTGCTCTCGTGTGCGACCATGTACTGTGAGAAGATCGCAGCCTGCCGCCTCAAACATTTTGGCGTAGGCCAGCGTTCGCTCCGCGTCATCGTGAATGCGAATCTTGCATTCGACCGCGATTGAGAGGTTTTTGCTCAGCGTTGACACAATCTCAGCCAGCAGCTCCCACTCGTCCTGCAGGTGCACCAAGTCAAGAAAAGGCAGCGCAATGAGCGCACAAGACCCCCGGGCCATCGATCGCTCACGGATTCAGGATGAATGGTCATGCGCCTTATGTACCTGAAGAAAGGCGCCATAGTGGCCGCGGCGAGCAATGCCTGGCGTAGACGGGACATGGCACAGCGAGCAATGTCAGCCGATTTGGTTGCCACGGGTTTGAGATGTGGTGTGTGCGCGCGCGCGAGCGTGACCTGCAGGCGACGGCCAACAATTCAAAGCCTCTGACCTTGAGGACAGCCACAGTTGAGAGAAATAGCATCACAATAGGGTTCCACATGCTTGGCTGCCTCGAGCAACGTGGCCGCATCGTCGCCACAAAACTGCACGACCAGGGGTCGATCACCCTCGATAGCCTTGAACATGCGCTTGCGGTAGCTGGCGTCGCGCACAAAAACTTTGGAATTGAACATGGGCGTGTAGCAGAGCACAGCACCCTTGCGTCGGCACAGCATGCGCCAAGCAAGCTCGCTTTGATCAACCATGGGAGCCACCACAAGGCGCGGTGTGGGCAAACGCCAAAAGAAATTCATACGACCGGCTTTGCCGGCCAGCGCCGTTGCTGCTCCTCCCGTAGCCATCTCACGCGTCCGTCTCCGCCATGTCGTGCCCAATCAATCAAAGTCCCAAC